GTGGGGTGGGGGGGAGATACCTAAAAAAAAGACATATTAGGTAAATCAAGAGAGTCTAAAAGAGGTAGAATATATCAATAATTAAAAAAAATTAATTATTTAACATATAATTTATAAGTTGATTTAAGTCTAAGAGATGTAGAATAGTTCAATAACTAAATTTAATAGTAATTAAAATAAAATTAATTATTTGTCATATAATTTTTAATTTGATTTAATTATAAATATAATTAAAAAATATTATTTAAATATACAGTATTAAAAAATTAATTTTCGGTACCATGATATCATTTTCCACCCGAAAGGTTCCCTTTGGGCTCGGTTGTCCCCGTCGTTGGGCCAGATCATAAATCGGGTGAGACTTTTAGGCCTGCGTGGGGTCAAGATTGGGACTATCCCACGTCATATAGCCTTTAAGAGTGTGTGTGTGAGAGTATTTAATCAATTCCATAGCCCTTACCTCGTCGGCAATTGTTTAAGAATAATGTTATATTGATCAAATTTTGAGATCAAATTAAGAGTTTAAATAATATGACATCTGATTATTTAAAATTTTTATTAGGATATTATCTGCATCGTTGGGCCTGATCATAAATCGGGTGAGGCTTTTAGGCCTACGTGGGGTCAGGGTTGGGGCTATCCCACGTCGAATAGCCTTTAAGAATGTGTGTGTGAGTATTTAATCGATCAATAATATTAAACTAATCAAATTTGTAATCAAATTTAAAACTCAAAATTTCAAATAATCAACTATTATATTATTTAAACTTCAAATTTAATTCTAAAATTTAATCACCGTACCGTTACTCTCGATCGATTCTACAGCCCTTGCCTCCCGATTGATGGAAAAAAAAAAACAGAAGGGTTCCCAGATATGCCACGAGCCAGCCACGCTCTACTTCCCAATCCTCAATCCTAACCTTCCACGTTTCATTGAATCCAACGGTGCACATTCCTCCCTAACCACTCGATCATTACAAATGGTCATGTCGATATTTATGTACGTCCCCCCCTATCTCTATCTCTCTCTCTCAACAGTCCCCACCACATTCTCTGTCTCTCCAACTTTCTGTTCCCCTCAATAAATCTGTCTTCATTCCTGTCACACTATCTGTCTGTAACCATGCTACTGAGAGCTGCACCAGCTTTCTCTATCTTGAACACTCGTGGGGATAACCTGAATCCCCTGTTTTCCTCTGTTTCTTCTTTGTCTTCGTTGAAATCTGTTCAGAGGAATTTTCGTGTGAAAATTGGAAATGGGTTTGTGGTTTGTGCGTCGAAGGGTTCGAGTAATAGGCCACTTACTGGTGTCGTGTTCGAGCCCTTTGAAGAGGTGAAGAAGGAGCTCATGCTTGTACCCACTGTTCCTCAAGCTTCTCTTGCTCGCCAAAAGTATTCTGATGAGTGTGAGGTGGCAATCAATGAACAGATCAAGTGGGTTTGGTTTTCGTTTTCTGTGGTTCAATTTATAACTCATTAGGCAAAGGGCATGTTCTATCTTGTTCTTGTTGTTCATGTTTCTGAGGTATTTTCATCATAAAACCCACATATATTAACATATTCCTTATTTTCATCTTGTTTAGACAAACCTCTGTTTTTGTAAAATTTTGTGGTTTTAATTTTCTTAGTTTGTTCGAGTTTTTGTAATGTATGGTTTCTGGGATTCTTGATTTTTTTAAATGTTTGAATTTGGACTATTGTTCGTTGTGGATGTTTGGCGTAAGCTATAGTTTTAGGACGGTTTCTGCTGGCTGATTATCAGTCTAATCTCTGTTTCGGTTGAAATTTTGTGGGTTTGATTTTATTAGTTTGTGTGAGTTTTTGTAATGTATGGTTTCTGGGATTCTTGAATTTTTTTATCTAAATGTGGACTGTTGTTTGATCCTCTTATTTTTATTTCTCAAACCGAGAGATCCATGAATCAGGATCCTAATGCATATAGATGGGTTGAAGCTTTGTGTCTAATGATTGATTTTTGCTCGTCTGTTTGTTATTGCAGTGTTGAGTACAATGTTTCGTATGTGTACCATGCTATGTTTGCCTACTTTGATAGAGACAATGTTGCTCTCAAGGGTCTTGCTAAGTAAGCATCAAAACTCGGATTTGGTGTTTTTCTTTAAATCGTGCTTTGATATCTAGTAGTGTAATCCTAGGTTTGGTTTGTGTCCCATGTAGGTTTTTCAAGGAATCCAGTGAGGAGGAAAGAGACCATGCTGAGAAATTGATGGAGTATCAGGTGTTTGACAATTTGAATCTATTAAGCTGTTAACGTATTGAACTAATATGTTCCATACTGGATTGAATCTTTAACAATCCTTGTTATTATTACACTGTCAGAACAAAAGGGGTGGGAAAGTGATGCTGCTGTCAATAGTGATGCCTCTATCTGAGTTCGATCACGCTGATAAGGGAGATGCTTTGTATGGTGAGTTTAACTTGCTAATTTGCTGGCTATATATGACACAATTTTTCCCTCCATTTATCCTTGTGTCAAGTAAGATCTTTTATCCCTTTAGCCTATGAATGTTACATGAAGAATAAGTATGAAACATCTGGTATAAAGACTGATTTTGCACACTTAATTTGTTTATAACTTTATATGGTAGTCTTTGTCTGCGTGCGCATATAGAAATTGCTTATAGGCTTGCATATAAATTTGTTTGTTTCTAACTAGTTTGTGTCCCAGTGTTTCTGAGGCTGGATAAGCATCGATTCCTACATAATATAGTTATCATGCTAGTAGGGTCATCCAAAGTATCAAATTATGCGGGTTTTCCTCCACATGTCAACTTATGCATTTTTTTCACATTATGTGTTGTTATTCTAAAGCACTGTTATTACCTGTCCAACTACATATTTTTTGGCTGATTGTTTGTATTTTCTTAATTCAGGGATGGAACTTGCGTTATCTCTGGAGAAGTTGACGAATGAAAAACTGCTGAACTTGCACGCTGTAAGATATTATCACCTCTTTCCTTGGCTAGATTTCTTGTTACAGTTCAAACGAAGTTTGTAGTAGAGGTTGGATAGGGATTCTTATCATATGCTCAACTTCATGACGCCAGGTAGCCTGCCGAAACAATGATGTGCAGTTGGCAGATTTTATTGAAACCGAGTATTTGACAGAGCAAGTATGAAAGCGTCCTAATTGATATGTTCATGATCATAGAAGATTCTCTGGCATTCATGCAGTTGACACTGATTTTTAAACTTGAATTGTAATATTTTTTATCAGGTGGAATCCATCAAAAAGATCTCAGAGTATGTTGCTCAGCTGAGAAGATTGGGCAAAGGACATGGTATGAAATATAAAATTCTCCTTTTAAGCTCTATAATCCCTTTTTATTTCATTTACTTGTATACATAGTTGTTAGTATCGAATGATACGCGATAAGATACATACGGTACATTTTAATACATAAAGAAAACGACACGTATCGCGTTGGTGTATCAATTTGCACCGTATCGTGCGATACACGATATAATACACTTGATACAAAACGATACGTACGAGTTGTTCGACATGAAGCGAAACATATTAAAAAAAAAATTATTTGAATTTTAACTAGAAAATGATGCATTTTCACTTGAGCCTTTTTTTTTTATCCGTTCTTTTGCGAGAGCAAATAGTTTGCTTGTTAAAAGTGTCCTCTAGCTACTTTAAATGTTAGAACTAAAACTGTCTAAATTTTGATATTGATGAATTAGGTTAGAAACTTTAAGGCTTAGATTGTTTATTTTTTATTTTGGTCCTTGTAGTCTCTTTAAACTGTTTTATGTGAGAAATTTATGGTGCAATGAAATGTTACTATGACATTTTGTCATATGTGTATGTATTTTTTAATATCTTTTATGGAAATGCACGTATCTTATAATACACATACGTTATGATACGCAATACACAGTTTTTGAAAAATGATACGCCTTCCGATATACGTTTTGACAACCTTGTTTATAAATGTCTAACTTTTCTATATTAATTCTGCCCCTTTTTCGTTTATACCATCTCTTCTCTGAGTTTAGTTGTTTTCATGGAATTTCAGGAGTCTGGCACTTTAATCAGATGCTCCTCCATGAGGAAGTGTAAGCTGCTGCATAATGGAGTTGCCCTTTTCGTTGGTGCGCACATGGTGCAGCTTCCGTGTTTTCTTCATTTTACCTTTTTTGCAGGATGTTCTATGCAGTATTTTTCTGGTTTGAGATGTTTGCTAGAGTTCTTGGATATAGTAAGCTACAAAAACGTGTGCTGATGGTAGATACAAAGTGTGTATGGTACACTAGTATAGTGTTTGTTTAGTTATTTCCCTTAGAACTACTTTAAAATACTGGGGTGTTCAATAACCGAAACAAATTTCAGCCGCGTTGGTTTGCTTGTTCTTCAGTGTCGGGGGATAGGTAGCCATCACATGTTAGTGACCAACAAAATTTAGTCGTTTTTGTATATGGATTGGTTGGAAGCTGTGTAGTGATAGTTTGCAATCACTCCATAATATTCATCAAAGAGCTGATGGTTTTCAAGGTTTGGACCAATATTGCTACGGTGGTGTCTAACCTTAAGGTAGTTCAAGTGGTAATAGGGACGAGTTATAAATTTAAATGTTCGAAGTTCAAATCTTGATAAATTCTTGGAATGAGATCAAGAGGGATTTATTTTTCATGAATATTTTAGTCTCGATATAAATGGTATTTTCTTGATCAGATCGAGAAGGGAATTAATTAAAGTACTCTGTAAGTTGAGTTAGACATCTATAATTGTTGAATCAAAAAAAAGAGATTTTTTTTTTGTTGTCCCGTCCTTTTAATGGTTGAATGGTCCTGCTTGCCTGGAAGGCGTGTGCTGGAAAAATGAAACCTGACAATTTGGCTGTGGAATGGCCGTAGTGAGAACTAGTGAAACTCGGATTCTTCCATGTAGTTGTTTTCTCGGGTCTTTTACGTCTTGTTCCAGCTGGTACTAATAGCAACAAATGTGAAGTCGAACGAGGGAAGTGTCCCTTTTGACTTTGTGGAAAATTCTGCTAATTTCATTACTATATAGCTATTTACAATTTTTTATGAGTTTTTATATAACTTTTTGAGATCATTTATAACATTTAGTACAAAATCCCCAAAGGTTGTTATCGACCCTCCAAAAGAGTAACTCGACCTTTGTATATTTTTTAGGATATTTTAATTTTTTTATTATTATTTGACTTCAATACTTTTGATATACAAATCAAATCTTGATTTTGCATTTGGATCCCCGATTCTTTGCTTTGTATGATCCAGAATGTGGTGGGTAACAGTGTTGACATAACCTGTCAACACAACATAAAATTAGACTATTTGAATATTTCTTAAGCTACCTATTTCGTAAACAAGTAGACCCGATACGATACAATTAATAAACGAATTGGGTATAAGTGAAATTAATAAAAAAAAATATACAATATGATTTGTGTATATATCAATTATATATGATTCATATTTAACATAAATTTAATATAACATGATTTGTTAAACATGAATTAATAAACAAATCGAATATGAATACAAGATCTTTTGTTAAAATTTGATATAAATTTGTCTCACCCAATACAACAAGTCTAATAGTTGGCATTGAAGTTAAACCTTTTAGGCCCGATCGTGGGTGTCCTGCAAGTGTTCCCCCCGGGGAGAAGGGGGGAGATTCTCTCTGTATTGAGCATTGTTGATCGACCAGGTGACAAGGACTTTGAATCATTAAAGATACCACGGCTTTGGTGGACCATTCGAAATCTCTTGGAATGGTTGTAGGTACCACACAACNATACGATACAATTAATAAACGAATTGGGTATAAGTGAAATTAATAAAAAAAAATATATATCAATTATATATGATTCATATTTAACATAAATTTAATATAACATGATTTGTTAAACATGAATTAATAAACGAATCGAATATGAATGTAAGATCTTTTGTTAAAATTTGATATAAATCTGTCTCACCCAATACAACAAGTCTAATAGTTGGCATTGATGTTAAACCTTTTAGGCCCGATCGTGGGTGTCCTGCAAGTGTTCCCCCCGGGGAGAAGGGGGGAGATTCTTTCTGTATTGAGCATTGTTGATCGACCAGGTGACAAGGACTTTGAATCATTAAAGATACCACGGATTTGGTGGACCATTCGAAATCTCTTGGAATGGTTGTAGGTACCACACAATGTAGCGCGTACAAGTGCAGGATAAACAAAAATCCATAATTTTTTACCACCCATGGTGACTTTTGTTTGTATAGAAGTATAATTTCAGCCCACGCTTTTCATTGTAGAAGTTTGTTATGCAAAATTCAATTTCAATCGGCGTGTTTGCAAAGCATGTTTTTGCATGGAAAAGTTTGAATTGAAACCACATTTTATCAAATATTGTTCGGTATGCCCACCTGATATATAGTATTTCCCCACACTGCCCCCTCGAAAAACTGCAATTTTGGTATGTAGGTTCCACATGCTGCTTCTACCAACGCACATTCAGGAAGGTCACATAGGAGCAGTATGGGAAAACAACCATTGCTAGAACAGAAAGAGGTAAAACAAACCAATTCATTCAGCTCAACATAAGAAATTGGCGGTGCAACACAAGATACCAGTATTTTATAGAATAAAGATAAAATCCAAAATTTGAACATAGTCTAGAATGAACTACTAATTAATAAAGCATCTACTTCAAAACCTGCAAGTAAAATAGGTGGATGATGGCACCAGAAAGGTTTAGGCAGTGGCCCCAGCCTGAGCTGCGAGCCTCTTCTTAGCTTCTTCGATAATAGACAGCTTGATACCCTTGCCCTTAGGAAGGGATACCCATGGTTTTGTTCCCTTACCGATGGTGTAAACATTGGCCAAACGAGTTGCAAATTCATGCCCAGTAGCATCCTGGACGTGGATAGTCTCAAAGGTACCCTTGTGCTTCTCCCTGTTCTTGATGACTCCAACACGTCCCCTGTTCCTTCCACCTGTCACCATGACCACATTCCCAACATCAAATTTGATGAAGTCTGTAATCTTGTTGCTCTCTAGGTCAAGCTTGATGGTGTCATTGGCCTTGATGAGTGGGTCTGGGTAGCGGATGGTCCTCCCGTCGTAGGTGTTCAGGTATGGGATGCCTTTCTGCCCAAACCGCACAGACCGAACTTTGCATAGCTTGAACTGCAGGAAGTTGCTAAATAAATCAGAAACTAGCTATCAGTGATCAAATATCCAATAGCCCTAAAAAAAATACTTATGATTAGACACTTTTTCATATACTAGTTGCTGCACACGAATTGAATCCTTTGAGTTGTAATTTCGACTTTTGTTTTTTTTGCATAAGGGGATAACATAACTATTCTCAAACTAATTATGTTACAGCGCTGATTATTTAAAAGCACAATTCCCAATACAATTATGCATCATGCTAGATTTTTAATTAATATTTCTCATTTATCATTTTAACCATACAATGCAAAATCTTTCCATGATAGTGCCAAATGTTCTCTTTCGGTTCCAAGGCTTTGGCAAAATTAGAAATGACAAAAACAAATTCCTTGTCATGGATGAGGTCATGTGTTCCTCAAATTAAAGCAACACTTTATTACACAAGCATAACGCAATGTAATCCCTTGCAAAATTATTTGCTTTGCGAAGTGAATACGACTCAACCAATAACAACAGCTTTAAATAATTATGGNACACTTTATTACACAAGCATAACGCAATGTAATCCCTTGCAAAATTATTTGCTTTGCAAAGTGAATACGACTCAACCAATAACAACAGCTTTAAATAATTATGGAATTGATAAGTAGTACAAATATAGATAGGTACAGCACACGGGCATTGCATGTGAACCAATTTAACTATAAATATTTATATTAAAGTCGAGGACAACCTTTCTGATTATTCAGAAGCTAACAATGATGAATACAACATTAAGAATCACGACAGCTATTAACTTTAGTAAGGGATGATTTACATGAAAGTTAAAAAATCTTGAGCCTATAATGTAATTTGATTTACTCATTTTCTTTTTTACAATACCATAATGTATCCCAACCCACATAATCCAAGTGAAAATAAGACAAAAGGATAATCTACCCATTCTTTATAAGGACAAGACGACATTGATTTTAGTCTAAGCTGTGAATTTGATAGAGGTGCACGTGGTTGTGATAATCAAGTTTAAACCAATTAAGGGATGAAGATAGTTGTTCAAGCACCTATACTGTAGCATAAAAAAATAAGTAACAAATTATCTGTTAAACTGTTCATTTCTAATGTATAGACAATAGAGATAGTTTTATAAATAACAACTTTAAATGAAATTATTTGCAGGCCCCATTTAGGTTAGTTCTTGAATTTTATATTCGTTTCGTGCAAGCGATTGATATTTTACCGTTTGACTATTTTTTGGTTTCATTCTCATTTTCTCTTTTTACCCGTGGAAAAATATAATTTATAAACGATAAGTAGAAGTAATAATGTCTATATTGGAATGATTTAAATCCAATTGATTCTCATCAATTAAAAAGGAACCTGATCACTATATCAGAAACTGGCAGTGGGGGCAATTTGTTCAAAGCTTTGTTATGAATCTTTCTTTTGATGATATAGAATCCCTCTCTATAACACATGACTTCTGTTTTCATACATCCCCTCATACGAAAGTTGCTTGCTTGCTTAAAAAATAACAATCTTAGGGCTAGAGTTAGTCCTTGTTGCTTCATCCACTTTAATTAAAAAAAAAACAAGAGTCCACTGGCACAAGAAGCTGCATCACCCACTGCTTCATTTGCCTGAAAGCTGGTTTTGATTTTGTGTCAATGATGACACCACAATTGTACAAGGTGATATAAGTGTTGTCATTAGTAAATCCTAATACCATTGGTTAGATTCAATATCTCAAGGTTGAATATAAGAGAGGTGTTTCGGATAACTTCATTGTGAAGTTCAAATTTTATTTCACCTAGAGCTAAAATGTAGATATTATCAACATAGTTATTAATATCATACGATATGTATCGCAGAGCTTTTGACCCATCCCATGGGGTTTTAAAAAAAAAGTTTCAACTAATGGTTGGTTTCAAAGTAATTATCAAACTCACATCCTTTTTAAAAAGGTCAAATGGACTGACGTTTTTAACACAAAGACTGTAGCCCACAATCAAGTTATACACGTCAAACGTACTGACGTTTTTATTTAAACACGTCACTCCATTTGACGTGTTTAAGTTGAATGGCCTGCTTCTATTTTTCCCCTTAACTATTCAATACCCTTCAACTTTGTAAGGACAGCACTCCACCGACAAAAACCAAGTCCCAAACCTAGGTTATAATGCCTAAATAAATAAATAAATTAATGTTTGTTTGAGTAATTATCATAACTGCACCCTAAATTTAATTATATGTATACATTTTCAATTTTTAAAGTTTGATTTGTTAAAAAATATAAGTATTTTTAATTTATCAAAATTTATTTATTAAATGTAATTAAATTTTTAAATAAATAAAAAAAATCATCTTCTCACAAAAAAAAAGGGAGCAAAAAATTTTTAAGTATTATTGTTTGGGAGAAAAATGTCAGTAGGACAAAAGAAATTTATGTACTTTTAAATTATCAAAATATATTTATTGAATGTAATTAAA